CTCCAGAAATATCCATTTCCAGGAGACACCCACTTCCGGTTGACGGTGAGTATTCGGCCACTGCAAAAGTATTACGTGACAGAAATGTCACGCCATACACCTCCAAAAACCTGCTTTGATTTCCGTAGGGTTTGGCTACGTGACGTAAAAAATCGCCTCTCGGATTAAAAATATGAATGCAGTTATTTCCTCTGTCTACGACGGCGATATGGCCACTTTCACTTACGGACAGAGCCCATGGACGAAATTTTTCACTGAAAGAGCTCGGTGGAGCGATTGTTCCAATAACTTGTCCTGTCTTTCTCTTGCGCTCGCTTGAGGACCGTCGCCTTAATGACAGACGACACGCAGGATTCGGTAAAGGAGAATCGACCCGATCACTTCCTGTGAGACCTTTGCTTCGTCTACATTCCACTTTCCCGATCGGCTCCTCAAAACACTTCTCGTTGATTTTTAATGAAAGCTTGACCGATGAATGCCGATTCTCCTCCATGAGTGCGCTCTTGCGTTCACTGACGGTTTGTAAGTCCGTTTGTAGCTGATTCATGAGCGCCGGATTATCTTTTATTCTTTTAAACTGGCCGTGATGTCGTCGCACAACTTCGACGACGTGATGGGCTTCTAGAGAGAAGTCTGCCAGCTGTTGCTGCTTCTCTCTTTTTTCTGCCTCGATAAATCGATCCACGTCTCTGTACAACTCTTTCTCTCTCTTCAGAATAACGTCAATCAAATCTTTGGCAGTTTGTTTAATCTCCTCCTTCACACGAACCTCCTGCTCTGATAATGACGAATGAATGGCATGTTCCATGTCTCGGATGGTAATTGACAAATCGTTTTTGTACTCCTGTGTGTATGTCAACAGTGCGTCCATCTCGACGTGATCTGGTAGCAATTGTGCATTAAACACTAGATTATTCGAAACTTCGACCAAAAAACCCTTGGTAGGTAAGCTGTGAACGCTATCATCAGCCAGATGAAACGCGTGTTCATCGATTGGGCACGTACAGTATATAGGAGCAGCAGAGTTACTGTTTTGCATATGAATACAATGAGTGCACACACTGTGTGAACACGGAAGGCCTTTTAGTTCGTAAGCCGAGCCGCCACAATGAGAACATTCACCCCTCGGAGAATTCATCTATGTTGAGCACGATAAGCAATCCCCGGTGCTATAGAAAACAACAGCTACAAACAATCCTAACGAAGGACCAGCGTGAGGGGTAATCTGCTCTGACTAGTATGAGCGAAATGCTTATTATTTTATTAGTAATGCCTAAATTTAGCTGGTCACGCATTCAAAAGCCGATCATTATTGTCGTCTTGACATGTATGAATGACTTGTCGTCTTGACATGTATGAATGACTTGAAAACGGTCGTCGATTGATAATATTACGACTTTCTTGACGATTCTTACTAGATGATCTTAGATCACTTAGTCGGAAGAGATGTGAACTGTGGTTTTAGGTATGTGCCCTTGGTCAATTAAGTTGTATCAGCCAGCTCGGTTTATACGCGTTATCATTCCAATTAAAAAAAATCTCCATTTTTTTTTAATGGAACAGCTCGCAGACACCTCCTGTCTCATTTAGCTGGCGGCTTTGCTTTGTGTGTTCTTTGAAGCGTTGAGAGGCAGAAGTGCCGGAGGGTTGGGGTTAGAAAATTTTTTTTTTTTCCAGACGCCGCTCCGCCTTCGTTTTTACTTCATCGAGGGTGTAAGAAAACCGCCAGCAACGCAACACCCTACCAACACATAAACAAAGGCTTTTTCATGGTCCCACCTTCCAATAATAGTTGATTTTTCATGAAATCGCTTTTCGGTATTGTTCCAATATTTCAAGTTTATTCTTTGCGAACGGGCTTCACCATCCTGTATTTTTCCATGCTAATCAACTTTAATTTTGGGCGACAGCTCAACTCTACGGTTATTGCCGATAGTTCCCGCTTAGGCTTTGGTGAAAGGCTTTCCGAAAGGCTCTCAGTAACTGAAAGCTCTACAGAACTAATGTTCTCTATTTCTCTGCTTGTAGCAATTTTTTTATTGAGAAATTCACTTTAGGAAGTTATCGATCTGCTGTTTCCTTTACGTCAAAAGAAAGGAAAATCGGTAGAGGAACTGATCAGAAAGAGACGTCTGCACGCAAACAGAGATAGGTCTGCGCACCGAAGGTGATGCATGCAGCGTTGACTTTTTCAAATCAAGGTTAACAAACGTCACGGTTTTTCGAACAACTCGACCACTCGTACACCAAAGTTTTCTAAAAAGCAGACGCTTCAGAGAAGTCTTTTTTTAAAGATTTAATTGTGGCACCCGGCATCCTTTGGAGGATGGTAACCGGATCTCGGTCGGGTTACCTTTCAAAAGGAATAATTCGGATTTCCGTCCAATCTTATCCTCTTGTGGATTATCCAATCAAAAAATCCACCTAAATAGGTATCACTCACCAACGCCTGAAACCGCCGACGACCACCACTTTGAAATTTAGTTAGTTGTTTACACGAGAAGGCAGGATTGGTGGTCTAAACTCTGGAAAACAATGTATGTGACAAGGGCGTGGCAAGGATTTTCGAAACAAGGAGAGGGGGGTGTGGGGAAGGTTCACAATCTCAAGTTCCTGAGATCCAATCTACGGATTTCGATCTTGAAGAATGAAGTGGACCTTCGTTGCGTTCCGAACACGAAACAGTGTTCATAATCATGAGGTACTCGCACATCGAGATGGTCCTTCGGCAAGGTTGTGTTGTACAAGTTCCTGCTGTCTTATTTTCAGCACTCGAGTGTAAACAACAAGCCCTTATCCTGTAATGGCCTATCGGCAAACAGTCGCTCCTACAGTTGAGACTTCCGCCCATGCATGATCCCATGGTGCAAAGTGGCGAGGTACAGGTAGGCGGTAGCCTATGAGAAGATGGGGTGGGAAGGGAAGGTGGGTTGGAGCTTTCAAGAGTCGGGAGGCGGGAGCGAAATGCTTACGTGCGAACATTTGATGATCATCAATGGGCAGCCCAAACGAAATTAAGGGCAGGTGACAGCCTCGGATGCACGTTCCACGTTCCATTCTCTCAGCCTGTTTCAGGTTCTCAATCAATAAAGGCGAGCGAAAAGCGCGCGAGCGATACAGAAAGGCTGGGGCTCCCTCCATAAATGAATAAAAATAAAATTCACTATCCATAATTCCGCGGGAAGATTTCAAATCTATGTTACATATAAATTCCACATTGCAATTATTTTCATGGCCAAAAAAAATGTTGTGCTACTATCTTTTGAGCACAGACTGAAACACAACTAATGTTTTATGAGATTCTTCACTAATATGTAATCTTATTAAATAAGGTTTAAAATCTAGAAACATTAAGTGGCTGAAATGTACACCATCAAAAAGTATTTTACCCATAGGATGAAAATTTAATTTAATTATAGCAAGCTTTCCAGGAATGGAAAGATTAAACGGCACATGGCCACATGGACTGAAGCGGCTGCCAGAGGCGCCTGATAAAAATGCTGACGTCCGATCTCAACCTTACGTTGTGAGGCGTGAGTAGTCCAGTGGTCAGAGCGCTGGACGGCCTGGGTTCAATTCCTGGCTGGGGCACTACGTTGTGACCTTAAGCAAGTCGCTTTATACACATTGCTTCGTCTTCTCGGATAAGACGTAAAGCCGTAGATCCCGTCTCCTGCAGGGTTTGGGGTAGGAGACGTTAATTTCCCACGCACGAGATTACTGTGTGGCGGATGTCCTCCCCTGGGTGGGATTGGTGGGAAGGTGAGATCGCTACATGGACTGAAGCGGCTGCCGAAGGCGCCTGATAAAATGCTAACGTCCTATCTCAACCTTACTACATTGAGGCTGAAAAGCCCCTTTAGGGGAGCTTCAATTAAGGTTGCACATTGCACAAATGGCAAATAAGCATTTCATATGCAAGTGTAAAATACATTCTGGACAAGCAAGCAAATTACGTCATACTGGGGGCTGTAAGGTTCACATCAGTTAAACTGAAAATTTAAACTAGATTTGAAAACATTTCTTAAATAAGGCTTCCTTGGTTCATTCACTACTTAATGGTTTCGTATCATGAGAATATAAACCCTTTACACCCTTTCATCGGTATTCATATTCTCCATACTGTTCTCTATGCATTTCCTATGGTGTTGTTGACGAGAATTTGTTTAACAATCAAGCGCTACTTAAGGTGGTGATCATTTCCCTTGATCTCGTTGATTCCGGGTGATGTTGTAAGGAGAATCATTATATGGCTGTGTCTCACAAGGACTGGGAACTACCGAATTCACGAATTTGATTGGCTGAAATCAATATTGAAAGCGGTCTAGATTTACCCATCTAGACCGGTCTAGAAAAAAAAGGCACAAAGAATATAAAAAATTGGCATAGAAGACACAGCCATATAATAAACATCTTATTAACCGAGCAAGGTCGGTCCGTATGGGAGAATCTTGACCTCGGTCGCTGGTACAGACCGAAATTAGTGAGGTCTGTACTGGCAACCTCGGTCAAGATTCACCCATACAGACCTCCCGCTCGGTTAATAAGAACTAAATGAGACGATGGTCACTCCAACTAGGGGGCTAAAAGTAAATTCTAATATTCGCAAATAGCCAGCGAGGCGTGTAGAAAATAGCTGTAAGCAATCTCGTATCCAACAAGCGCGAATGAAATAATTGTCATATCAAATTGTATGAACCCTGAACGTTTGGATATTTGGAGCTTTTTATCTGATCTGCAACAGTTAATACGATTATTTTTATATAAGGTGACTCGGAATATGAGCTGATAACCAGAGTTGAGTGTGCCACTCAGAACACTAGAAATTCAATATTCGGAGTTAAAAATTTGACAATTTTGGTTGATTGACACTTCTGTAAAAATAAAAATTATAAAATATTTAAATTGATTTATGTTGGGTGAATAAATCATTATCGTTCCAAGTAACCCTTATTCATCGCCAAACAAAGATTTCTACGGATTAACAACAGCAGTCAAAATATTTGCCATTCTCCTTTAAAATGACGCAAAAAGGGTTAGACAAATCTTATAAGCTCTTAGATTGCAAGCCGCATTTATCGTTAATCTTTATGCCACTTATTATGATTTTTAGATATTTTATATATTTTTAGATATTTTCATTTCTACCTGTTCCTGAAGGAACAGACTCTTTGAAATTTTGAAGGTATTTGATTTTAAAGACGCAATGATGGCTCCTTTCTAATAGCACAATAAGTAAGACATTTTAAACTTCAGAATTCATCGAACCAGTCCTATTGTGGACTCCATTTTTGTCCCCTCCGCCATAACCGACGTCTAACGAAGATATCAGAGGAGTTTCCTCGTCATGCTTTGTGTTTTGTATTGTTCCAGTACGTTTAGCTTGTCTGTTTGCCGCATCCAGTTCAAGACGAGAGTACTGTTCTTTAAACAGAAGTAAAAGAGGAATACATCCAGCGCATATGCCCACCATACACCAATTCATCCACAAGGTGCCTAAATGGAAGATTCAGGTAAAGAATTCAGTCCTCATACCATACTAAAAAATATATGTACGTTGTATAAGTCACTGTGGTGTAACTAGTAATTTCACCTATTCCAGGAATCATCAATGCAGCCAAAAACAGCAGACAGAATACGTGATTAGAAGTGGTCACCACAGCCATAGGAATTCCCTCCGCAATGGGATACGTCGTTTCAATCGTGAGCTCATAAAACAGCGGGATGGAACCATTGATGAAGCAACCGCCAAGGACTGCTGAGATATACAGCCACACTGAGGGAAAACGAGTCAATCTTTTAGTGATGAAGTAGCCTATTTCAGGCGTTCAGTAACTAAAAAAGGAGCGAAACAAACGAACGGCGCGATAGTGCATTAAGTAGCAACAGAGCGAAAAAAAGGAAGCAAGTTTGGGTTGGTGACACGACCCCAACCTCTCTCGTTTTTTCACGCAGCCACTACAATCGCGCCTTATACCATCGCGCTTCATTTTACTGACACGCCTCCGCACAACCTCGTTCCCAGAGTGTCTCATCTTCCCGTACCCTGGAGAGAGGGGCTTCAGGAGGCGGGAAGTTAAGAGACCTCGGGAACGAGGTTGCCTGGAACAGGCTTGCGAGGAAGTCTTCCGTTGTAAAAAAAATAGTTTGATCGGATTTTACATCACACATCGTATTATAATCATCTACGAGTGTCGCTTGCATAATAACCTAGTGTATGGCCTGACTCGCCAACGAATTCTCCGTCAATTAGTTGGTACAGCAACAGACCGCGAAATCTGAAGCCCTGGACTGAACCTCGTTCCCATGGTAAGGGAACGAGGTTGCCTGGAGCTCTCACTACGCTCATCCATTCTTAAAAGACTCCTTTTCAGTCTCAACTAAAACGAAAGGAAATATTTTCGCCCACACTGGCGTTTTCCGTTTTGCAATCACCTGTCCATACTATTGTGTTTCCCTGCTTTGAAACACTTACCTATTGATACGTTTTCACTTTTCAGCATTATAAAATCTATCAGTTAATACGTGCAGTATGATTGCTCACTGTACGGCCTGCTAAACTGAAAAATTTGTTTAAATTAAAATCTTGCTCCTCCATTTGAACCCAGGAATAAAATAAATACCTTACTAACCTAGTGCGGACCAAGACAACGAGAGAGTTTTAGATACACGTTTTAGATACACGTTTGATGTGTTAACGGCAAACGTCAAACCGCGGAAAGTAAATTGAGATTAGAAGTTAAAGTTTCGCGATTTTCAGCCTTTTAGATCGACGTCGGCTTTCACCTGAGAAAATTCAACATGTGCGCCGCCATCTTGAATTCCACAAAGGATGGAGGTTCTTCATTTCAAACACAAAATAAGACTAAAAGTTTGGTTTTTTTAACGTCCCAAGCGGACCTTTTACACAGAAAATACTTCACTTCTCATATGTTTACAAGACATACTAGAGAACTTTCGAACAGAAAGAAGAAAAGTGTCGAGGGAGTTGACCTACCTGAAACTGCCTCGCCCGAAGTTCTAACATGAACCACAAACAGCGAACGTGACGGCTGAATCTGGTCACGTGACTCCTAGCGGTTTGCGGTAACTCGTATTCAGAAACAAACGTGGATCTAAGGGGCCGACCATTTAACTTTTGAGGGGGGTGGGTGATTTTGAAAAAAAATTTCCTACAAGCGCTTGTTGGAAGAAAAAAATTGCATGCAGCCCAAATGTAACAGAAAAAATGTACCAAAAAATCGGAAAAAAAATATCCTGCACAGCAGATTGCTAGAAAAAAAATTTCTTTATGACCAGAAATCACCCTCCCCACCCTCTCAAAAGTTAAATGGTCGGCTCCTAAGACTGTCTACAGTATTAACAACCACAACTCACGCCCACGCGCAATCCACGTACACGACGTAAGTAATTAATTTTACACACCTCTTGAAAATGGAATAAATCCTTGACAGAGAAGAGAAAACCACAAGAAAGAGCCAGTAGAACCCAGGAACAAGAAAATAAGGAATGACTTCATGTGCCCGGTAAACACATCAGCAAACCTGGAAAAAGGACATTTATACACACGTTTAAATCATCGATAAAAAATGTTCCGCGAATAATATGTTTTTGAAGTAACATTTCTTCTTTCATCTAATGACAGACTGTCAGCAGTATCAAGGGGTTTTTTTTTTTTGTTATTTTCTGCATTGTTGCTTCTGACAGAGAACAGAAGAGAGTAGGAAAGAAAGGGAAGACTTTGACACCCTGCAGAGCATTATTCAAATGGTTTTGCCGCAAACTGCAAGCTTACAGAACAGGCGTAATTTTTTTTGCGTTTTTCAGCTGAACTGAGACAAGCGCTGGGCGAACGCGAAGCGCGAGTCACGCGCGAGGGTAGGAACCCGAAAAAATTATTTTTTTGCGCATCTCCCCTCATGCGTGACTCCCACTTCACGCCGCCTTGCTCTTTTCTCCATTCGACTGAAAAACGCTTTTAAGTCTACGCCTGTTCTGCAGGCTTGCAAAAGTCTATCAAGTGCATTTCTGGTAAATTTCATGGAAAGCTTTGAGAACATTTCGATTTAACTCGTTATTAATGTACCCGCATAAGAATTTTTTTTGGGAGGGGGAGGGGTTACGGTTATAGATACTGATTAGGAAGGAGAGCATTCATTTTCTTTTTGGTTGTTATTTTTCTCCATCTTTTGTCATGGTAGAAAACGAATAAAGAATAGACAAACCCTGATTGCAGAATACTTTTGCAGAAACAGAGGGGGGTATACTATCTTCAAACCCTTTCCTGTATCTCTCTCACCTGAGCCACACCCTCCCCCCCCTTCCCATCAAAAATACAAATTTCAAGCAACTCAGTCCCTCACTGCCATGTAATTCCGTGTCTTGTGCAATCCATATTAACAAACCAACCCCTTCCCCTGACATACCTTGCCATGATGAATCCAAAGATACAACCTGCAATGTTGGCATAGAAACCAATCCAGCCAGCAGTATCCTTAAAAAATAAATCAAGTATTAAGTGTTTTCACTTGTTCAAGAGTTCAATTATACATTATGCAATGATTTGATGATTGTGCCTTCTATATGGAAGAAACAACGAGCATACTCAAAAGAGGATATACAAAAATCTTTCATTTCAGCACATCTCAAAATTATTAGAGAAATAACGAGCTAACATTGAACAACAAGAGTCATTTTTGAATTTCCATGGCAAAAGAATTTTTTGAGGAAGCTTTTAAACAAAAGTGGAAGAGGGGTATACAGCCATTTTAAAAAGGTTGTAAGAAAAAAGGACAAAAGTGCACATGACAATGTCAAAAGGTAATCTGGATATCCTGTGATCAGTGGAATTTAAGAAGTCAAATAAGTGATAATAAAATTGATTGATGAAACCCATGATGTCTTGTTCTTAAAGTTACATTTTTCATATTTCATACTTCTGAGTACCACCACAATACTATGTGGAACTGTCGCATGTGCACTGACACTTTTTTTTTCCCTGCAACCTCTCTTTAAACAGCTGTATTTATTTGGTGATCATGCAGACTGATAAAGATGACAAGTTTGCAACTTTTGGCCAGAAATTGAGGATAAGCAGCCACTGGGGTAGGCTAAGCTTACAAAAGGTAAAGTTTGTTCATGAGTAGCACTACATTTACTTGTTTTAAGTTGAACGACAATAGATTCACAGCCAAAACTCCTCCCCATCCACTGAAAACACCTAAAGGAAAAATATCATAATAAAGAATTTCAGAAAACTTGCCGGTCATATTTTGAGTCTTTTTCTTATAGAACCTGCATTAGTGGCAATTAGCCTAAATTTGACTCACAATTTGACTCAAGGGAATCATCCACAACATTCTGAATTCACTGACAAACAGGACTTACAATTTTTTAGCCAAAGATTCAAAATACACTTGTGGGCCAAAAAATGTTCATTGCAGCCCCTCTTTTCTGATTTAATCTGTCAAGAGGACAAAACCAACAGAACTAATGATGGCAAATGTTATTTTCTAAGGTAAATTTTGCAGGAAAAATATGACACAACACTGTGTTTAAGGAAAAACTTTACTGCTGTGAAACTTGATCCTTTGGATCATCTTGTTGAAAACTAACTGAAACAAAACCTTGTCATTTGAAATACAAGACCTTCTATCAACCATGAATGAGGGTATGAGGCGAGGGACCATTTGAATTTTGTCTTTTACAAATATACCTGTCGTTGCTCCATAAAGAATGTTCAAATTCCAGAATTGACAATTTCTACAAAAATAGCAACACTAGTATTAGGATCAGCATAAATGAATGTTTGCACATCTTCTAACAGTTCTCTAACTCTTTTTGATTACTCAATTTGATTTATTATCATAATAATAATGTTCTTGTAACAATCCCATAAGGTGCAAGCTCTAATTGGTCAATTCAGTGTCTACTATTAAGTTAAAAGGTATTTTTAAGTGACAACAACAAAATCGGTATCAAATGACTGAGTAGCCTTGATTTTGGCCGCTCTCTCGGGTCTGGTCCTTTTTGTTCCTCCCCGAGAAGGGATGCTTTTGGGAGTAGTATAGGCTCTGGTTCCCGAACAGTGGCTGGTAATCGAGCCTAATGACTGAGGAGTATCTAAAAAAGTTGGACTCACTTCATAAGCCTTTTTCCACCTTCCACATAGTCTACTTTTTTCTTGGAAGCAGAAAAACTGGGTGGCCTGGGAGGCTTTGCTGGAAAGTATACCAAGACACACAGAAACAGGATGGCCACCAATCCAAACTCTGTGGGATTCAGAAGAGAGAGTTAGGTATTTTCTATTCCATGAACTGACTGGAAGTTCTGGCCTGCTCGTTAGGGGTGGGAGGCTAATCCACTTGTATTTTGTTGATATTATGCCATTTCTACTCCAACCTATGAGTTTAGTCTGAGAGGTGTAGGAGAATTCTCCCCCCCCCCTCAAATTATGAACTTGATATGGACAAGTATAAGCATCCAGAGGAACATTAGTCAATTTTCCCATCCCAGTCACTTTGTATCACGGCAGATGGTTTGATTTTTACTATTGCTCAGGACAAAAAAAAAGAATGTCAGAAAAGGTCATAGTTACCACAATTAATTATTTATCACCCTAACTAGAGGTTGATATGGATAGATAAAGCACCAAAGTGAATTTTGAAAAGCTGATATTTCAAAGGGTTATACAATACATGGTACTGTACTACTCAAAAAATATTTCTTTGTTCACTCACCAATATACATATAGAGCATGATATGCCACCTTGCAGTGGACACAGCCTCATCCCAGGACATCTCTGTGTGATGAGTGAACAACAAAATTATACACCTTACAAAAGTCTAATATCTAATAAATTATGTTAGTTATTATACATTCAATGAAATAATCTTCTGCCTGATTGATCAATTATGAATGCACTAGGATAGGGGGTATGTGGCAGAGGTGCAAGCAAATTCCTTTCCTTGGTTCAATTTCCAGGACTGGCATCCTGTGTGGAATGGATTTGTTATTGGTTGTTATCCTTGTTCCATGGGTTTCTCTCCGGGTCCTCTAGTCTTTCTCCCTCTGCAAATACTAGTGTTCCAAATTTCAATGCAACCAGCATACAGACGACAGGAAGAGCCACCTTGTGGAATGTTGTATTAACATTATTATTACTATAATTATTATTATCATTAACAATTATTTGCCGATGGTGAGCTGAATATCGTCTAATAATCCACCAGACGAAATCGAGGGACGGTATTATTCGACAATATTCACCGAACCTGAGGCCAATAATTGTTTTAGTATAATTTCAGAGCTGAACAACAGAGAAATTTCTAAAATCATAACATTTTAGTAACATTTATTAACATTATTATTTTAACATTTTATATAAACCATGAGGAGCCGTTTATATAGCATCATAAAAGGAACCACTTGACCAATCAGATTGGTGGAAACTCTTTGCTCAGCTCTGAAATTATACTAATTACTATAATTAGTATTATCATTCTTATTAGCATTATTATTATGCATAAATAAACTAGTACAAAGAATACTATGGGATTTCTCTTCTATACTTGGTCAAAATAAAAGCTTCTAAAAGTCAGTAAACAATGCTATGACTTGTGCAATAAATGAAACTTTCAAACATCACTTGCTTACATAAGAAAGGCACTGACATTCAAACAATTTCCTTTACATAGCATCATTGTCTACCTTAGTCCTTCATTATCATCACCCTTAAAATATTGTAGTCCATTGTCATAAACAGATAGATTTTTTTTTTCAGGCCTTATTTCCACTATTACATAGGTAGGTAGGGTTTAGTACTGCTAAGATTGCTTTTATACATTTCATGAAACTGCAGTACACATATATGATTTTCATGTATTCAAATTCATCAATTTATCACTTCAACGGGGTTTAATATGAACCAACACAGTGACCAGCTCCCAGTTGGCTTGTTAGCTCATGATCAGTTAGTAGAGCACTGCACTGGTATCACAGAGGTCATGGATTCAAATCTGCACCTGAATTTTTTTTCAGGCCTTATTTCGACTACTACATAAGGTACGGTTTATTACTACAAAGATGACTTTCATACATTTCATGAAACCACAGTACACATTATGTGATTTTCATCTACTCAAATTCATTGAGATAGATGTCTATTATATTCAAATTCATTCAGATAGATGTCTATTACTAATAATTAATATGAATTAAAAGTAAGATGATGATGAGAACTCAACTGTTTGTGCTGTTACTTTCAAAATAAACACTGCTTTTAACAGAGCTATTCTGAATGTCTGCACTAGGCGAGGGAGGATCTGCAACTTCTGTGGGGTTGAGAACAAAAGGCCCCACTCCAAATGATATTGATATTCCAACATAACTCATTAACGATGAGATTGCTGTGGCTGTTGCTCTCTGATTAGGGGGGAACCATGTAGAGGACACCAGGGGGGGTGCACCCATCGCAACTGGTGCAGCAAGGTCGTTTAGAAATTGCCCAGTGTGTATTAGCCTGACAAAATGTAAATTGATAAATTAATTGCTTTACAGATATAACAAACTATGTAAAAATAAAGAAAAAATTTCCAAGCTTTTGCTAAGATCAGCAGATTATTTTAAACAAAAACATTGAACATACCATGTTGCTGGTTTGGGTTTTGATGTAATACACCTAATGCCCGTGCCTACAAACATCAGTGCAACTGTTACAAGAACTGAGATCCTTAAACCTATAACAAAAGAACAACAACCTCATTCAGAAATTTTCCATCATCAAACAATAACCCAACATCTGAAAATGCCACAGGGAAAGGGACCAGAGACCCCTCCCCCCC